CACTGGACGATTGGCCCGATGGGCATTGACCCTCCAGGATCAGCCCATGAAGATCGTTCACCGAAAAGGAACCCACAACGTCGTGCCAGACGCTCTCTCTCGAATGTACGGCGACCCCATGGACGGCATGGCCGCCGTAGGTAACGACCCTGACCCGTGGTACTCCATTAAACTTCGCGATGTTAGTGATTTTCCCTCCAAATATCCCGACTGGACAATTGAAGACAATAGACTGTATTACCACCGTCCTAATTCCCTCTTAGACCCCATCGTCCCCGACCTTGACGGTTGGAAATTAGTCCTTTCCCTTTCCCTACGCCAAAAAGCCCCTTCTGACGCCCACGATCCTCCCCAATCCGGTCACCTTGGCATTGATAAAACCTATTACCGTCTGACGCAGGACTTCTACTGGCCTGGAATGTTCCAGGACGTAGTCCAATTTGTCAGGCGGTATCTTCAATGCCAACAAAGTAAAGTTTTGCAGCGGCCACCGGCGCGGCGGGGTTGATGCGGGAGCGCCCGGTGGAGGCGCCCTGGACCGTCGTGGCTGCTGACATTATGGGGCCCTTCCCTCTCAGTAAATCCCAAAATAAATATCTCCTCGTTTTTCAAGTCCTTTTTGCAAAATATATAGAATTGAAACCCCTTCATAAAGCTTCCGCCAAACCGATCCTTTCCGCTTTTGAATCCCTTGTCCTCCACCGTGGGGATGCCCTAAATTCCTCCTCACAGACAACGGGACAAAATTTTGTAACAGAGAGGTGACGAACAGACTAATGATGTACGGAATAAAACAGACGACAATCCCTCCCTACTACGCCCAAGCCAACCCCGTAGAAAGAGTTAATCGAACCCTTAAAACGATGATCACGACGTTTATTGGAGAAGACCGCGAAAATTGGGATAGACACCTTCCTGAATTCTGTTTCGCCTATAATACCGCCGTACATTCCTCTTCCCTCGTTTCCCCTGCGTTCCTCAATTTTGGTCGAAACCCCCGTCCCATCCAAAATATCCGACACGAAATTAAATCAGATTCCCTAATAGTTCCCCGAAATCTCAAAGAATGGTCCAACCGCATTTCCCGTTTAACCCTTTTATATGACATCGTCCACCGAAACTTAGAAAAAGCCTCCTACCGCCAAGCGTCCTATTACAATCGTGGGCGTCGTGACGAGCCAGATCGGTGACGTCGTCGTGAAACTCCAACGAATCCTTTCCTCCGCTGCCCAAAACTTTGCGTCCAAACTTGCCCCTTCAGGCCCTTATACAATTTCCAAAATCCTTTCCCCTGTCGTTTATGAATTGAAAGATTCCGTTGGAAATATCATTCCGAAAGTTCACATTAAAGATCTTAAACCCTTTAGACCCCCTCCAAATTTTGATGAATCAGTTTCCGATAACCCTTTTTCGAGTCAAGTCAGCCCCTACTGCATCGGCCCCTAATTTCTTAGAACCATCTGTAAAAATCTCCACTATATTGTCATTTATTTGTTCTTTCCAAATTTCACTTTTAATCTCTCTAAACAGAGCACTATCCGCCATTTCCACATCCTTTCTACGTTTTCCCATCTCCCAGTTCACCCTAAACCCCCCTTTTTCCAAGAAACTTCCCACTGACAGCCATTCCTCTCTACTCCAGGCTACCTTCCTAATCTTATCCACCCACTCTTCTAGTTTAACCCAGAACCTAACCCACGGTTCCATAACATCCCATTCTTCTTCATCTCTCACAACTATAAAGTTAAGGAGACTTTCCTTCACCGCACTATTACTACTGATCCTATGCTTAAACATAAACCTCTCCATTAAAACCTCTACCCTAGTTTCCATGTCTACCACTCCCGCTTCAACGTTCATTACATTGATTGGGGTGGACATCCTGTAGCCCATCACCACCCTCAAACCCGCATTCTGAAGCTTTATTAGTTTTTCTCTACCCTTCTTATTTCCCCAAAAGTACACGAAGATACCATATTCTATGACCGAACGGACCAAACCCTTAAAAAACACCAACATCATGCTGGGCTTCACTCCCTTTTTAATTCCCGCTATATAGCGCAAAATGTCCAGGCGTTTCCATGCTTTACTACACACATAACCCACCTGGCTATTGAAGGTCAGGCCCTCATCCAAAACCACCCCCAAAAAACAAACCTCTCTACTACTCTCCACTACTGTGTTCCCAAATGATAACCTGTACTTGGAGCCTGCTCTTGCCCTATTCCTAGTAAAAGTCATCCATTGAGTCTTTTCCATTGCCAAATTCAACCCAATATCCCCAAGGTTGTCCATTATCTGCTCAATCGCCTCTTTAAGCCGGCGTTCTCTATCTAGTCTATTGGGCCCCCACGTATAAATCACGATGTCATCAGCATAAATAAGGATTTTCAGGTTCCCAACTTCTGTATTGGCGCAAATATCTGACGAGTGGATGTTATACAACAGGGGACTGAGTACCGATCCCTGAGGGAGACCCCTACTCACGCTCCCTGAAACCTCCGGGTCATATTTCCTCTTACAAACTGCCACTCTATCGTTCAACCAATTACTAAGATATCTTTTAATGGGTGGCGGACACCCCTTCCTCTCCAAGACCTCTAATAGACCCTCATGAACCACACGGTCGTACGCCGACTTAACGTCCACGAACGCCGCCGAAGTATCTTCCTTTCGAGAAAACATTGCCTTAACGTCCATAGTCAAAATCATAATGTTGTCAATTGTCGACCTACCCTTCATAAACCCGCTTTAGCGGTAATCAACAATTCCCGCCGCCTCAACCCATTCCTGCAATCTTTCTTTTATTAGTTTCTCAAGCAGCTTGCCCATATAATCTATCAACGAGATCGGCCTAACCGCCCTCTTCCCCGGTTTATCCAGAAATTTTACCACTACCTTCTTCCAACGAGCAGGGATGACCCCTGCCATCCATATCCAGTTATAAGTTTCCAACAAAAGGGACTTCATGTCCTCATGCATATTTTTAATAGAAACGTACGAGATGCCATCCTCGCCCGGTACGGAGGATGTCCTAACCTCCTTTAAAGCTCTATCAAATTCCTGTCTAGTGAACTCATAGTTTACATCCCAAAGACCATCATCATTACCACTATCTACATTACCTGGATCACCCCTTCCCGTAACGTTAGGGGAACCTAAAATCTTCTCCACCCCCTTGTCTTCCAACATTCGCCTATCTTCCAAGGAGAGGGAGGAAGCCCCTTGGATTAACCAATCCATTTCTAATATTCTTAACTTTCCTCCAAGCTTCCTTAGAGCTCGTGAAACGATTTATAGAACGCACAAAGTCGTCCCAGGCTTTACTTTCCTTCGAATTAACCAAATCACGCACCTTCCCTTCCGCCTCCCTTAATCTCATCCAATTCCCCTGGCAAGGCCTCCTAACATAGTCCCTAGTCGCTTTCCTGCGGGCTTCCTTCGCCTCCATACACTCCTGGTCCCACCACACCTGTTTCTTCTACCCGGGGGCCCACGGGGAGGGGTTTCTTACCAGCCCCTGCCTTCTCAATTGATCTCGCAAAAGCATTCGTAATTTGATCGCATCTCTCATCAATATTTTGCCTAGTATCCGCCCAGTCGGACTTGAGTCGATCTGCCTCCTCCCCCGAGAAAAAGTTAAATAAAGGCCAGTTCACCTTCTTTTCGCAAAATTTTCTTGTGCCCCCCCCCTTTCCATTCCGGCGCCACAAGGACCCCTCCCTGAAGATGCAGCAGGATGACCTGGTGATCAGAGCCTAATGTTTCACTTTCCTGCTCACTGACCCCTATAGACATTATACTATGCGAGCCAATCAACAGATCCAAATTGGATGAAGGGCGACCTCCTACCCCAATTCTAGATAAAGTGTGTCTATTCAGGACAAACAAGTCTGCTTCCATAATAACCTCCTCCAATGATCTCCCCTCTCTACTATCAACCGAACAATTCCAAGATTTATTTCTTGCGTCAAAATCGCCCATAAAAAAGGTAGATACTCCCACTCTACTATTTGCTACGAAAAGGTCTTCCCAATCCTTTTTTCCCCGCGGAATCCCCGGCCTTCTATAAACAACGAGTATATCCACCTCCTCGGAGTCCAACGTCACTGTGACTCCCAACACCTGTCTACCTACCCCCTCCCAGGAGACGGTATCCCTTTCTTTAAAAATAATATCTTTACGCAATAATAAGGCTACACCTATCCCATGCCTATCTTCACTGAGGTCCGACCTCACGATGTTAAATTCCGGAATAGAAAACCTATCCGACGGCTTCAGCCATGTCTCAGTAATCCCGAAAATTAAAAAAATTTCGAAATATACTCCTTGAGCTCAACTAATTTCCCCTTTACGCTTCTGGCATTCCAAATACCTAGCAGAACCTTGTCATCCATGTTACCTTATGACGTATCCCTCCATTTCCTCTTTCCTTCGGCAGGAGCCCTCGCTTCTCATACCCTTCAAACTTCCTTCTTCTCGTGACAGATATACAGGTAAGTAAAAATCCAGACCTACAAAACATTATGTATTTTATTAAAGAACTCCGGGAATACACAAGGAAGATCCCACAAAACCACAACCACATGGACTTATACAAACAAAAATAATTAACCAAGGGGATATTACCCTCTTCTCTCTTGTTTTTGTGCAAAAAGTAGAACAAACCATATCGGGCCACAAGGGCCTTCATAAAGCGCAATTCCAAAACATAATCTTTTCCAATCCGAACACTCTCCATAAGTGAGATTATCGCCTTAACAACTAAAAAATAACGATTAGTAACCAAAAAGAAACAAAAGTCAATCATCAAACATTTCTTAGACATTCCAGATCCTATCCATACTAAAAATTCGTTGACATACCAAAAACATAACCTCACATCCATCCATACTTCGTTATCAAATACAAACTTATCGAATACAAACTTAGCCTTAAAATCACTAAACTTCCAAAAAACCATTCGCATATAAAAAAGGGCTAACATCACACCAAGCACGTTAGTCTTTTTTATTAGAAGCATCTTCTTCGTTCTGCCGGAAAATGTGCCCATAAGGGCCATTCTTAATTGCTTGAAGTCTTAAACGGTTGCGTTCCTCTTCCCTTACAGCTTCTTCCTGCTCCCTTTCCCTTTCCCACCTCGCATAGGACGGGCCCGGCAAACTATTTTCCCATTCTTCCTGCGCCCGCTTTTTCTCCGCTTCCTTTGCCGCATGCAGCGCCTTTTTTCTATCAATTTTAGCCTGGATCTTTGGAGGAATCGGCACGTTCCATTCAGGACGTTGCGGGGTGTTCCAAGCCTCAAATTCCTCTTCTTCCGTCTGAGTCCTTCCATACTTCTTCCTCCTTAGATGTTTCTCCACCTCTTGCTCGAATCCCCTATCAGCGATCAGGCTCAACAGCTCGGAGAGGAACTCTTCCTCCCTCCTTTTCCTCAATTGATCGATGAGGTGCCTGTTCGCCCTTTGTTCCATTTTACTAACCTTCTTTATAGCCGACTCTTCGAGTTCACCATAGCCGAAGGTGTATTCCACCTCACCCTCTTCCGGGTCTGAATCGGGTTGTAGAGTTTCATATCTAATTTCTCATTTCTTACGTTCCATCTCAATCAACTTCCTCCTCACTAAGCCTTCCCTAGTCTTAATCGGGTCATTCTCAACAATCAAATTCAGTCTTCCACGGCCTCTCCCACCTGACGGGCCGCTCCCATCCTTTCTCGAGCTCACAAAGCTTTCCCAACCCCTTTGCTGTGGTTCTGCCTGGGGTAAGGATCCTCTTGCTTCCCGGATGGATTGCAGTTCTTCACCCAGAGACACTTCTAATTTCTCCCAAAACTCAGGTACCCTAATCCTAGCCCTATTCCTGTTAAAGAGGGCCGGGAAGTCCCTTAATCCTTCGATTCTATCATCATCGTCGTACAAGATTCCATTGTCTCCCATCTGTTTTGAAACAAAATCCCTGGCGGTGGCGTAAGCAACGTTCCGGTACGCCATGACCTTCTTCACTGCTTTCTCTCGCTGGAACTTCCAGCATGCTTTTGATAAACTGGTATGATCACCCCCACAGTTCAAGCACTTCACTGGTTTATCGCACGGTCCATGTTCATTTTCAAGACATTTCAAACACCTCCTAAACTTGTTCCTATATTGCATCTGTACATGTCCGAAAGCAAAGCATCTATGACACTGCTTTACGGCTTCGACAAAGGGGAACACCCTCACGCTCACATGTCCCTGCCCTATCCAGAGCTCCTTGGGGAGTTGGTCCCCCTTAAAAATGGCCCGAATTGCCATGCCATCCACCCATTCAATTTTCCCATCCTTTGAAATTTTCTTCTTCAGCCTCTCGAATGTACACTCGGGCTGGCCTGGTACCAGCGCCTCCTCCAGATCAGCCACCGACTCTTCCCAATCGGTAATCACTCCTTTCCTGATTTTCTTGCGTTCCGGCAGGAACGCGGAGAAGTTCGCACTCTCGTCCTCTGCACGCTTCAAGATCTCATTTGCAGCTGCCATTTCAGAGAAAATCAGCTCTGCCCTGTTAAATGCAACCATTTTTAAGCCACGGAGTGAACTTCCCCTATTTTTAACTATTCTATAAATTTTAATGAGGTTACGATGCTTCATTCTACTAGTAGCGTCCTTCTTTAAAACAACCGTGACCATATATTCCTTGCTGCTGAGCTCCTGCATGTAAAAAGATTTTTTAGACTTCTCACCTTTAGAAAAGCCTAGGCTCTACAAATCACTATTTTCTCTGATCTCTTTGTCCTTTCCTGGTTCCTTGTTTCCATTCAATTCCACGAGCTCTTGATGCGTTTCCAAATCCAATCCTAAGTCTTCAACTAATGTTCGAGCGTTCGTTAAAAAATCAAACAATTTATAAAACGTGCCCGATAGGGACCACCGAAGTGTTCTCTTCGGAGAATAAGATAACATCGAGAAGTGTGAGGAGACGAAAATGTATCGCGTTCAAAAAAATCAGTCGTCATCGGATCTCGGTCGCGACCGGTTAAACAGTAATACTTTTATACCGCGTATTCGGGGTTAAACAGTTTTCTTTCATTGTGATTACGCAAATTTTTAATAATACATTATCAGATCGTCTAGGATCTTATCGCCAACGACAAAATATCACTTAACGTCTCTCACGACGATAAAACATCATTTAACGCCTCTCACGACGACTGGACGTCTCTCTGCGCAAGAGACTCCAACGGAACCTGGTTTCCGTACCATCATAATTGGACGTCTTTTCGCATGAGAGACTCCAACGGGAACTGTTTCCCGAAAAATCCATTATCACGCGATTAATCAATCGCTGATGGGCGCCCGACCTCGTGTACACGAAATCATTCATAACACACGCGACACACTCACACACAAAACACACAATTCAAATTCAAGGGTTTTTTACGCCTTCGGGCTTTTTCCCTTTTTCAAATAACAAAATCAAGGGTTTTTTATGCCTTCGGGCTTTTTCCCTTGTTTAATACGAAAATAAATCATCACTTTTTATACCGGATCAATCTTGACTCATTATTTAATAAACCAGCTTCGATTCATCCTGAACATCCTACCAAAACGTAAAATAATTACGACAGTTCCCCGAATTTCCACCCGGTCTTATCGCTCTCGAATGTTTAGAAAACTCGAGAGCCGAAACTAAAGGGGGAACGAATTCGAGGAGAGCTGAGATCGAGAGGGCAGGCATTCTCGTTCCAGCCTTCTTACATCGAACATACGAAAACGCTTCGGTTGAACGGTTTCGATCATACAACTAAATTAATTTCCAAATTAAACACATTTCCTTCCTCGTCCGTTAACTTATCGTCCTTTTTTTTTACCTTTTATTAAATCATCCAATTCTTCTTCACTCTTTCGTCTTGTTCTTTTCCTACTCGGTTCAACCAGCTTCCAATTTGTACTTCCAGCAACGTCCTTTTGTGCGTCTTCACCAAATTCTAACGGATTATTTGATTTCCTGTTGGTGTTGCCAACCTCAGCCGCCACCGCCGCGGAAGGCTCCATACCCACCTCGCGTGGCTCGATCTGATTGGAGGACGGCGCCCCCACTTCTCTATTTTCAAATTCAGCAACCAGTTCCGCTACCTTATGCTCCCTCTGATCGGTCTTTCCAAGAACTATCGATGCAGCAAAAAACTTATTTCTAAGCTGGGCTTAAGCACATGTTTAAGACATCGGCTAAATTCACAGTCGCTGAATAAGTAACGTATTAAGCATCAGCTTAAGCATTTGCTTAGAAAAGTAAATGCTTATCGGTGTAGATTCACAGTCGATGCTTAAGAAAGTCTTAAGCTCTTATGAATTCATAGTCGAATAAGTCCGCCTTATTTGTAGAAAACGAGTTCTTATTTGGCTTCATTGAGGTTATGTTTTTAAGTCGACGATATTGAGGACTTAAGCACGCGTTTGAAGGTGTTATTGTGCAGTGATGGGACGGGAGGGAGTAGGTTAGGGTACACGAATACGGTAAAAGAGATTAAAATTACCGATCCCTCCTGCGATGCAGCTGTTAATTTGTTTGCGGTATTATGCTACTGCAAGTTTTCAAGTAAGTCATATAAATATATCACTACTCCTAAAAGAAGTAGAAAAGAATAAAGATTATCTATATATGTACTGTAATTGTAGCTTATTCTGGGAGACACGATGAATGTCTCTCAGCCCACAGTCTCCCGCATAGTATTTAGGGTGAGTTCACTAATAGCCAGTCTGATGACGGACTATATCAAGCCTCACAATTCCACTCAAAATCGCAGGTTATTCAATAATCTGGGACAGGGAAACGGAGCTATTGGTTTACCAGATGTGGATTTTATATCATTATAACTTTTTCTATATACACATATACATACATACATACATACATATACAATGTAATTGATTTACCAGGTGTGGATAGCGCTATTGATTGCACCCACATTAGATTAACAGCATCCAGGTTCAACAACATGGAAGAAATGTACAGAAATAGAAAAGGATATTTTTCATTGAATGTTCAGGTATGTCATTAAGTTATTTATTTTACCCAATATTCATTGAAATGAACCATATTAATATTTTACTCGACTGATTGATGCACAAATTAACATTAAATTATTCGATCGACACAGGTACAATGAAATCCAGATCAGGACCCGACAGATAGTAGAAAGAACGTTCGGTGTTTGGAAGCGCCGTTTTCCATGTCTTTCAAGGGGTTTAACAACGAAGTTGTTATGTTCCACAATAACGGAAGAATTATTAGGAAACGTGGAAAATGTTAATGGCATTGATGGATTTGCTACACGTGAAGCATTCATTGCTTGTACGTTTCATTGAGTAATTGTGTCAAATGAAATGCAATAAGGGGTTTTTTATGCCTATCGAGCCAATAAATAATCATTATTCTTTCGGCTCAAATTGGTCTAATTTAATGATTAAAATACCCTCATCCTCAGTCATATCACAACCTATACCTTGAACCAGTAATTTCAGTCGTAAGTTTAATTTTGTGTTATTTTATGTTCGTATTTCAGAATGAAACTTTAAATATAAGAGATTTTTATAACATATGTGATAACATTAATTATAAAATTGTTCTTAATAAATTTGGCTTTTTTTATTAATAAATTTGGCTCTGTCTATCGCTCGCTCAATTATTTGAATTCAATTCAAAAACCGCGTCACTAAGTAAGAAATAATGCTACATTTTCAAGAGTCATTTTTATTGGTTGTTACAGTAGAAAATCGAGGGAAATAGCCGAACGTTAAATAAGCATTGCTTAAGGGGGTAGACACGGGTAATGCAGCGAGGTGACATTACCGGCAAATATGGGCCTATTAATGAGTTTACGGGAATCGGTTATTTGTCCTTATATGAGAATACATAGGGCTGGGTGAGAGCTCATTCGAAAGAGGAAGGTCCAATGCAGGGCGGTCAACTCATGGTTTAACGAGATTATGTCCATATTTAATAATATCAGTGTCGAAAGTAGAAGAAAAAATCGACAAAATGCAGTTGCGAAATCAAAGCATTTTTAGACCACTAAAAGAGTTTTGTGACTCAAACGTTGAGTGACCGCCCTGCATTGAACCTTCCTCTTTCGAATGAGCCCTTATTCAGCTCAAGATCTTCTCATATAAGGACGAATAACCGATTCCCGTAAGAGCATTCCCAAAGACGAGTTCCACCATTATCTGGATGCTACAGAGCAAGTCTCGTGACAAATTTAGTTCAGCTAGTAGTTATAAGGTGGCGTCTAAGTAGAAAGGCTGCCGATTTGGAATCGTAGTCAGAATCAAGCGTCAGCTTGATTACGTCACTCGAACTGTGCTGCGAAGGCAAGCGAAAAAGACAACATCGCCCGAACGCTGAGTGAGACGCACTACAGTCATGCTGTCCTTCTCTCATTCTGAATGTTGAGATTGTCCCTTTCCGCTAAGTTTTGATTGCGGCTCGCCTGGATTTTTCACAGCGCCCCATAACTTCGCCCCATTCAAACTATATCGTGTTTGGTATCATTTTAATCAGAAAAATTTCACCAATGCGCTAGTAAAAGTTTCAGTAAAAATAAGTCAAAAATAAAAAAGTTTTATAATTGAATTAGTATTAGTCACACCGATACGTTTCGGCTCTTTCCTTTGATCATTAGACCTCTCTCTCTCTCCTCCACTGTCTGTCCCTTTCTACGTTCATGCTTGGCTGGTCGTCGCATCTAATTAGAGATTCGACATCTCGGCTGGATGTATGCAACGTCTGGTTCCCAAATTCGGGTTACAGTATAGACTCGTTATAAGCAAAACGCTCGGGACCGGACTTTTGCCTATAACGTGTAGCTCCACTATTGTTTGATGTTAGCCGACTGCTTCGAACGTAGAAAAGGACCTTGAGTAAAAAAGAGGACGGAACGAAAACAAACCGTTCTATGTCGGTGAGGCAACTTAATTTTGTTATTTTTTATTTTTTTTTTATAAAACTTTTTGCATTATATTTCTGACATTTTTCTAATTAAAATGATACCAAACACGATATAATTCGGACCATATTTACTTGAAACAACTTATTATGTATCATTATCATTTCTATTAAATTAGAAAAAAGTTTTATCTCAAGTATCTGCTCAATCAGCTACAGTATCACAATAACCAGTTTTTATTAGATTATATAAATATTTGCAGTTTTTAAAAAAATGATACTTTCATTTTATTGGTAGTCTTATTAATAGAACTGATTTTATTCTGAGATTTGTTACAATGTTTTGATAAATGATGTACATCTGTTTTCTGTTCCTGTAATGTCCTGTATTTAGGTGTTTGAACTTGTCTCGCCTAAAAGAAATGAACTTTGGATTATGTTTAGAACAACATGACGTATTAATAATACTTAATTTTTTGAATAAGTTGTCTTACCTAAGAATAATAATTTCATTGCTTCTAGAAGCAATTCAGACGAACGCGGGATGCGGTTTTTATAACGCTCCAAACGTCTGAAAATATCTTCCAATTCCTGTCTTTCTTCTCTGTTTACTGGGATCCCACGTTCTTGTGTTCTGTCACTTTGGTTCCTTTCTTCTTCCTGTTCTTCTTCCCATGGTTCTTCTCTTTCTTCATCCTTGTCTTCAACCCTTTCTTCATCCTTGTCTTTGTCCCTGCTTTCGTCCGTATCATCAATCTTTCTTGAATATGTTTCTTCCTCCTCACTACACTCGTTCAAATATTCTTCAACTTCTTCGGAGGTTACATTATGCTCCGAAATGCTCGTCAAAATTGTTGCATTTCCGGTATAAGGTTTTCCTCCTCTTCTTGTTCTTCTTCTTCATCAGTTTTTGAAATGATTTTGTTCCAACAATTTCTAATGTTACTGCATGTCACTTCGCTCCAAGCTTCACTAATCATGTCTATGCAATTTTTTATTGTGTATGTTTTAAAAAATTTTTCTGCACCACTTCCGTAAGTGACAAGCCGCTGTGTTATAATTTATGGCGGAAACTGCGTTTTAATTTAGCAATAATTCCTTGATCCATTGGTTGGATCAAGGATGTGGTGTTAGGTGCTAAATATTTGATTAGAAAATGGTCATCCTGCACGTAATTTAATGGTAGTTTATGACTCGCACAATTGTCAATTATTAACACAACTTTTCCGCATAATCCATTTTCTAACTGATATTGTCTAACAGACTTTTTAAAACAATTATCCACCCAATCTAAGAATAAAGTTTGGCTCATCCATGCATTAGCTTGAGCCCGAAACACTACCGGAAGTCGATTCATAAAATGTTTTAATGCCCTTGGCTGTTTATATTTATAAATTAAAAAGGGCATAAGTTTATGTGTTCCGGTTGCATTGGCACACAGTCCTATCGTGAGTCTTTCTTTTTTCATTTTATGGCCACTTACACACTTTTCCGTTGCACTCACCAGAGTTTTCAGTGGCAAAGCCTTCCACAGCAGTGCAGTTTCATCCATGTTATATACATTTTCAGGATTAATTTCTTCGTCTTCCATGAAACTTTGGAAGTCAGCCACAAATTGACGTGCTCCATCTTCATCGGCACTGGCTTTTTCGCCGTATACACGAACTAATCTAATGTTGTTGCGTCTTTTAAATTTTGCGAGCCATCCCTTGCTCACTTTAAATTGGGAAGGGGCTCCAAACTCCTCTTTCAATTCGGTTGCTTTTTCTATTAGCAGCGGGTCTGATATGTAGTCTCCTACGGTTCTCCTTTCTATAAACCATTTGAACAGGCGTTCCTCCAATTCCTCGAACATTGGTTTTCTGATCCTCTGTCGTCGCTTTGCCTTGGAATCTTGGTGTTCAAATTCACTAATCTTCGCCTCTTTTTGTTTTATACGACGAACAGTGGTGTAGTGCACATTATGTTTTGCAGCGACAGTTGCGATGGAAGATGTCTCTAGATCCT